ATTAACCTGGTAAATTTAACCAATATAGACCACAAATCTTTCTTATTCAGGGTTTTTAAAAATGTCTTTTCCTTCTAGCAAAATATCTAGAGATTAACTTATCGATTCTTCTTCCCTGGCTCAAGTAAATATGACTTTGCACCCTTCCTTCTGTGCTAAAATGAACTGATGAGAAAACATATTTAGAAGCTTTAGGGAAACATAAATAATCATGCTTAATCATTGTAAATCACTCTGAACCTAGAGCAAACTTTAAACTTTCTACTTTAAAACATGACAAACCTGGCAGCTTTGACTTGACAGAATTAATATAGAAGCTGAACCTATTCACCTGATATTCCATTTTACCAATGAAAGGGAGAAATTGCAAGTATTTTTTGTAAAAGAGAAGAGTTTTTGGTCACATACAAAATGGATTATGTGAATGAAGTATGCACTGGCTTGGCCCTTGCCAAAAATTTCCAGTATGGAAAGCTTACCTTTGGCAACACTTCTCTGCGCCTTCAAGACTCTAAGTTTCTTGGGAGTACAGTTGGTGTTTGACCACTTTAATCTTCCAGCCTAATGCCTGCATCCAGTACAAGATTAATAAGTATTTGCTATGCCACATTCCACATCTGTGTTTCCTATGGTTCTCCATCCCCATTCCTTTTTAATTTCTTCAATCCTTCCACTCTAAGGTTTCTATGAATGATAGGATTAAATGTGTAATCCTTTCCAGAGGTATGGCATTTTAATAAGGAAAAGTCTTAAGCTAAAGAAATGAAATTATGTGGCATTTCAGAATTATGAAGACGGTAGAGTGAGTTCTGGGAGGCAAGACGGTATTCCCTAGCCCCCTTTCACATCTGGTAACATACCCGTAGGGCAAATGGTACCAAGAATTGTTCATTGTAGATTCTTCAATGGCTTAAAGGTAGGATATAGGCTGTAACCTACTGTTGCCTGCATTGCTTCCATAGATGAGCGCTGATTTCCTTTCTACTTCTCATCCCAAAATCCTTCTCTTGTCCCCAGTACAACAGAAGAACACCTCAAAACATTGACCACATGTTCTAAGGTTGGTCTTTTCTAAAAAAAACAAAAAATTCCAAAGCAGTTTTCATATGGAGGCATTCTTTCTCCCACTGAATTTTTTTAAAGATTTATTTATTTATTTGAGAAAGAGAAAGGGAGAGAATCAGAAGGGGTAGGGGCAGAGGGAGCGAGAGAGAGAATCCTAAGGAGACTCTGAGCTGAGCATGGACCCTGACACAGGGCTTGATCCCACGACCCTGAGATCATGACCTGAGCTGATACTGAGAGTCAGATGCTTAACCAACTGAGTCACCCAGGTGCCCCCCATTGAATGGTTCTTAAACACATTGACACACAATATTTTCTATGCTATACAGATAAGAATTTTCTTAAGTGTAGTTGGGAGATATAATTGGAATAAAATCCACAACTGAACATCAACATTCTGTAGAATTTTGAGGTTGACTTAATTTGTTAGACTAAAGAAAATCTTTGCTCTATAATTCCAATTCCATTTTTAATCAAATTATTATAAAAGCTCTTCATACCATTTGATGGAAAACATAGATTTGTCTAATGAGTGTTCCCAATCAAGAAAACTGTAGGATCTCTTCTCTTGATAGTGACATTATTGCTCAACAAATTTTATGTTTTATTGAAACACAAACAGATAATGGAGACACTAAATGGTGTCTTCTGAAGCCAAAGTGGATAGCATTGCTTTTACTTCTTAGGATACATATCATTCACAGTAGAATTATTTCTTTGTTGCCCATATTAGTGAAGAAAATAAAATAGAGCATAATTCACAAATTCCATATTTTTGGCTTGGAACATTTGTTGTTTGACTTGGGAGTGATCAAGTTATATTTGAATATAGATTATTTCTTGCAATTTGGGAAATCATTACTCTAAACAAAATTACAGTATTATGACTGCTTCCTGGAAGAATAGTCAAAAAGCTATTTAGCTTATTTGATCTCAGAGTTAATATCTTATTACCTCATGCTGCTAAGCAGAAAACCATCCCAGAATGATGGGAAGGACTAACCTTAGGGAAGAGGACCTCTCTGTTGAATACCTGGTTTACTCCATCCTTGAAGGAAGAGTTATAATCAAGTCAGAGATTATATGACTATACCTTATTCATCTTGATATTCACAGAGTTAGTGAATATCAAGTTAGTGAATTACCTGGCTCCTAATAGGTGCCCCATAAATGTTTGTTGAATGCAACTGAATGACCTTGAATATCTCAGGCACGTGATTCTTCACTAGGAACCTACATTAGAAACTCCTAAAATATTTTGAAAATACGCAAGGGAGATGAGGTCTGGTTATGTATATTTTGTAAGTGTTCCCCAGGTGATACTGATAAACAACCCTAGTTATGAACCACTGATCAAAGTGGTGACCAATTTTATAAAAATTTTAATAATCATCTTGATCATCTAGATATATCCAATTATGTCCATGATATATAGGAGGAAAAACTAATAGGCTGGTGATTTTCAGAATTTTTGTGAACTTTTGAGCCATTTATCCTCAGAAAATATCTTACCCTGAACCCAAATACAATTGATCCTCATTATTCAAAGATTCCATATTTGCAAATTTGCCTACTCGCTAAAATTTATTTGTAAGTCCAAAATCCATATTCTCAGTGCTTTCATGGTCATTCACAGACATGCACAGAGTAGCAAAAATACTGAGTCACCTGATGTACACATTCCCAGCTGAGGAACAAGGCAACACTCTGTCTTATTTCATCTCTCATAGTGTAAATGTCCTTTTCATGGTCTATTTAATGCCATGCTTTTCACATTTTTGTGCTTTTTGTTGGTGATTTAATTGCTTAAAATAGCCCCCAAGCACAATGCCTAAGTGCTGTCATATTCCTAAGCACAAGTAGGCTATGATGTATCTTACAGAAAAAATAGATATGTTAGATAAGTTTCCCTCAGGCAGAAGTTATAGTGTCATTAGCCATGAGTTCAATGTTAGTAAATCAACAATATATATTAAATAAGTTATCTTTAAACAGAAACAAATAAAAGTTATATATTGATTGGTGGATGAAAATATTTTGACCAGAGGCTTATAGGAACCTAACCCTGTATTTCCCCTTGGAGCAATGGCTCAGTATTTGCTAATTCAGTTTTTGCAGTAACTTTGTAGAACATAACTACTGTGAATAATGAGAACTGACTGTCTATAAAATATGAAGCCAAACTGCTCTGAATGACAAAGAGCCACATATTTGCACGGGGCTATCATCTTTATCTTCTCCCTATCCTTTCCTCTACAAGTGGCAGACACCTAACCATCTACACTGGGATTCTTGACCCAGAAGCTATAAGGCTTTGAAATAAGAGTAGTCTTCAAAAGTGAATGCAGAGTATTGACTGAATTTCTTATTTCACCTATATGTTTGAGTTCATGTGCACCTAGCAAGTATTTGCTTAGCAAATGCAAACTAATATAAAATTAAATCAAATAATTCCAGTCAGGAAGGTATTCAGATAGAAAAAAAAAAACAGTGCCTTCCTAAGGCAATTATAAATTATTTTGGATTACATGATGTTTTGAATTATTTGCACTACTGTTCCACTTCGGTCAGAATCAGAAGTTGCTTCTGTCTCTGAAAATGCAATATTTGCCTTCTTGTGGACCCAGCTGGCTTTTCCCTATGTTCTATGAGTCCCGAAAGGACTGAGCACATTGGATTCTCAGTAAATAAATTATTACTGCTATGCATTAAATAGAAATGTGCAGTCCTGAAAAGGTTAGTGCAGCACTGGAAGTCATGTTATGGCTATCATACTTTGTTAAAAAGAAAGCCTGAAATCAGATTCAAAATGCAATGGGGAGCAACATAACGTAAAGCAGAGCAACTGGTAAAATAATAATGCAAACAATCATCTCTAATACCTAACGTCTTGAATAGTAAATGTTGTTGTCATTGTTGCTAGACAGAGTTAAGCACAGCTAAATATCCTAGGGTAGTGATCCTCAACCAGGAATATTTTGTTCCCTGGAGTAAATCTGGTAATGTCTGGAGACATTTTTGATTTCATGAATGGGCCAGGCTGCTACTGGTGTCTAATGGACAGAGGTCAGGAATACTGCTAAATATCCAACAATGCACAGGACAGCACCCAACAACAACAAAAAATTATCCAGTCCAAAATATCTGTAGTACCAAGATGAGAAGCCCTATTCTAAAGATGACTTTGAAATAATTTAGGGTATTCTGTTATGTAGTTCAAGCAATGATTATCTCTATACAGACAATATGTAGCTGATCTGATTCCCCGAGATGTGGTTCCTACATCTGCACTGAGTACTAAACAAGGATGCTATTCCGAATCTCTGTGCACCAAACATGTGGATCCCAATATAGAAGCTAAGCCTCCCATATGAAAACAAAATCACTCATATTGGGTTCAGCATAGCTCCTGGCTCATATATGAGAAATTTATCACTTGGTTCTCTCCTCTCTATTGCTAACGAGACATCATCAACAGATCAATGAACTTTAGGAGCATCATTAACAATTTCTGGGTTATTTGCCTCATTGGCCACAGAAAAAGGGCCATAAAAGTCATGTGAAAAATACTTGGATGCTCTCAAAAATTATGGGCCTCAGAAACATGGCAGGGAAATCAACCTGTCTAGTCTATATAAGTCCCCAGAATGTAACAGGAAAAGAACATTTTGAGGACAAGGCTTCCCTTGTCCTCAAAGGACAAAGGACAAAGGACATTGTCCTCAAACTGACATTGCCCTAGATGGCTGTTTACCTGTAATACTAATGCTCTATGCACTGTCATTCTGATTTGAGGAGACAGAGGGTGGCACGTGTCCACAGATGCTTGGGGAAACTCCCTCGAAGGCTGAATGCAAATACTTTGGCTCGTTTTCACATTACCCTCTGTTCACGGTCAATATCTTCCACTGACTTTCTCCATTTCTTTCTGACAGCTGAGCTGCAAGATTTTGCATTTCTTTCACCAGTACATGATGGCATGCAATTATTTCTGGATGCTCTGTGAAGGAATCTATCTGCACACACTCATCGTGGTGGCCGTGTTCACTGAGGAGCAGCACCTGCGGTGGTATTATCTCTTGGGCTGGGGTATGTATTTTTCCAGCTGAGTTTTGAGCCACCTTCACCTCTGTCTGCATATTTACAGTCTTCTTCTAGTCTTTCTGGTCTCAGAAACTGATCAGGGCCTAGGTCTTGTGAGGAATGATGGGACGCAGGTGGGGGCAGGAGTTCAGTCTCCAAGAGAGCTTGGTAGAAGCCCTTTAACAAGTTCATATGGATTGTGATCAGCATGGGAGTCAGTGCAGAGAAGGAGGGGTGTGATTATGCATTTCTCCAAGAAACAAACCCTGCTACCAGATGGACAAATGTGCCCTGACTGAGAGAACATCTGATTAGACCCTCCCTTCAGTTTTATTTATCACCCTGTTTGTAGAACAAAGGAAAGTTTCACATTCTGAATTCTGTATCTCCTCCATCCAGGCACCACTTCCCTTCCTCAAAAACATTCCTTATCAATCCATCAGCAGGACTCCTCCAGTGAAAGGTCAGGAGGTAGAATCCCACCAAACAATAGATATAAATAACCTCATGGGACTCCAAGTGCAGCCTACCTGACACCACAGTGCATGGCAATGACTTTGAAAAGCCTGTGGTTGGTTGCTTAAACCATGGCTGCTTCTGTACAGATTGACTAAGGTAGGGTGTTGAGGTCAATGAGGCCACTCTAGAATTTCTCCCCTTACCTCAGGGGATGCTAAAGTCTAGCTCACTCTAATGGAAGGAAACTAGGTAGGTAGTGAGACAGGGAGAGGCAAAAAGCTCTGGGACATAAAAAGCATGCTGCCTTACCAAAAAAAAGACACATCCTGTGAACCTGCCATACCAGAAGAGGATCCTGATTGTAGAGCCAAAGTCTTGCCCTTATTCTCCACTGACGGGGTGACTGTGGCTCTGGGAGCAGAAGCTGTGGATTACTCTCAATTAAGCCTGCTCTTTAATGCAGCATTTTGCAGAGCCCCTAAAAATATTGACAGGAGAGGAAAGAGTTAATGAGGAGAGAAGATAATCCAAAAGCTTTCTGAAAACATCAACCTTTGTATTTAAATCCCTACTCAACAGGCATTGTCACCAACTGTATGGAAATATGTCTGGAAGTCATGTAAGTGACCTAAAATCGTTCACGGTCTACGCCAGGCCTGGCCCTATGCAATATTTGTTTCCATAACACCCTTCCTAACAGGTATATATGGATTTTAGCAAAACACATGACCCAAAACCAATAGGACAAATGTATAGTGGTGGGCTAGTGGGGCAGATATTTGGGGTATGTCATCAATGAACTGATGATGCTTTGTTTCTTTGGTTGCAAGTAACAGAGAATAAGATTTTCTAATTTAAGCAAAAAGAGAGAAATTATCAGAATCTAGAGTAGCTCATGCAAGTCAAGGGCTGAAATGGACCAAGGCTACTACTTGTACACTGGGACTAGAAAACCAGGAGCACTCTCCTTCTATCTTTTGTCTCTGTTTGTTTTTCTAAGAATCTGTTTTAACCCTTCTCTTTCTCTACAGACCATAGATCACAGGGTCTCTGCTCCCCCAATCCTAATGGTCAATACAAGCTACCCCAAATTTTCCTGAGTTCACATTTTTCTGTTCCAGGTACATAAAAAGACTCGGTGCTTGTCTTTAAGTCCTAATTCTAAATAGCAGGGCAAGAAAATCTGATTGCTCCAGCTGAACTCAGGGGGCCAGCCACTGCTCAATGAATAATGGCCACGGACTTTGAGAGGGAAATTATCACATAGTGCAAACATGTCTGGAGATGGGTGACCCATCCAGAAAAAATGGGAGAGGGGTCTTTGTGAACTGGACAACCCATCTAGAATATACCCTAAACCACCTCACCACTGTTCCCCCACGACCCCCTATTCTGTTACCTTAATGATCCAGTGAGATTAGAAAGCAGGCTTGTGACTGTTCTACCAGTCTCACATCCAGTGCTGGGTTCTCTTGCTCTTCCTTGACCTCAAAACAGGTCAGAATACAAAGATCAAAATGGCCTTTTATTATTTTTTCTTTTAGCTGCAGCCTTCCACAAGAGGCTGATCTTACCTTTCCCTGACCTTCTCAGCCTCATATGTACCTTGTCAGAGATTTCTTGTCCTCAAAAGCTAATCATACCAGGAATCAACTGAATACAGTTCAATGCCCCCAGTAGTAATTCTGATCATCACAAGAGTAATGATTGGTGCTGGTCAGATGCCTTCCAACTGAAAACCTGAAAATAACATCCCACCCCTGGGCTGCCACACACACACACACACACACACACACACACACACACACACACATACACCATTTCTGTCTGATATATTTTACTTATTTCCTTTAAAATAATATCTATGGCATATTTCTTATACTGGTTTTGACTATTCAAAAACATCTATCTGCCATACTCAGAAAATTTCCCATGGAGGAAAAAGGCTGTAAATTTATTCTTCCTGTGACATTCAGCAGAGATGAGGACACCCTGGAAGGAACAATTTATAACTACTCTTTCCATTCTGATGCATTGTGAATTAGTTATAAAACTTTTGACATCATCATAGACAGCTCGATGAAGACATCTGCTTAACACGCATAAACAATTCAAAGGGAAAAAGGAACAAGCTGTTCAGCTGTATCAAAAAGAAGGTAATAAAAATAAGTAAAAATATTTATGGGATACCTTAACCTTTCTTAATCAGAAAATACTTAAAACTTTATCAGAATGATTGAAGTGGGATCCTAAGGAGCATTGCACTCAGTAAGGTAAGCATGGAATCATAAATTTAAAAGAATGAGGATTTGCACTTCCCTCTAGACAGATTTTTGGAAAGACACTCAACCAATATAGTTCTAAAATGTAATTATTTTTTAGCAGGCCAGACTTAAATCTATCTTTCTCTACCCCTGCACACATGCGTGTGCATGCACACGTTCCAAAATTCCATCCAACTCTTTACCATGTCTGGGAACAAAGTCGAGAGACAACCATGATGATGTGTTTTGAAGCAATAGTTCTGTCTCAGAACTTTGGGCAAGCATCATCTTTGGGTGAGAGGAAGACAGTGAAAAGTACAACTGAAATAACTTCTCAAGAAAAATAGTGTCACAGAATCTTTAAAGAATTTAATGGAGCAGAAAAGAAGAAAAAATTTCTACTGGATAATATTTTTATTGTCCTTTTGAAATCATGTTCACACCTAAAAAGTATGATAGGTCCTAAATTTTATGGTACCATGAAATAAGGCATAACCTGTGCTTTGAAAAGAGTCCAAAAGTGGTACGGCAGATTTGGCCCAAGAAAGCTATGTCCTAAGTTATAACTTTGTTTGCAGGTGATGTACATTCCATCCATTCATTTCAGCTGTGAATAATATTACCCACTCCAGGATCTGGAACAGATCCTAAAAATTATAAGAGACTTGAGGAACATCACCCTCTGGGAGAAAAGTACCCAGTGGTGCAATTCTTCCCAACAGAAAGTGAAAGAAGTCTTCTTTCGGTAGTTACTCCCTTATAAATATGCACGGGGCCACTTACTAGTTGATTTCTCTCAAATCGAAGCAACTTCAAATAGTGAAGTTTAGTTCTCTAAAAAAAATCATTTATTTTACAACCCTCTCCAGATTGATTCTTCGCCTTGCTCGTTCTCCTCTTGTTATAAATCAAAGAAGGAAATTCCCCCCCGTGGACTTTTACAATGAACACATAGAATTTATTTGGTCCCCCTAAAAAAAAGAAAAAAGAATCCTAGGGAGAAGGGATTATTTTTACCCTCCCCAACTTCAGTGGCAGGAAGGGCCGTTATGGCCCTTGGTGCCTGGGGGATGAGAGGAAGAGAAAGGGTAAACAAACTGCATCAAAAGCGGCATCATGGCTAGAGCAAGGCAAAGAACACCGGGGGAATGAGCAGATACAGGGTCAGCACTCCTCTGTGCATTAAGGAACACATCTTCCTCTCTACAAAATGATGAGGTGGGAGGGGGATCTCCATATGCTTCTTCTGCTGCCTAATTCTAAAACGTGTGTTTCAGAATAAATCAAGAGAATGAATTTCTGTTTCTAAAACCCAAGTGGGGAAATGATACGTTAGAACTGCTGTGAATAAAACACAATTATGTTTTGTGTAAAGAGTCTAACTCAAAATTCTCTCAGGCCAAGCATTTAATCAATGGCCCTATTGAATTATATGCTTCATGGGTTAAGAAGCTGAGGTTGTTCTCATGTGAAAACTCAATATTCTGAGGCATTCTCTTTCTGCATATAATTCACAGAAAATAAAAGTGTGGAGGTCTAACTCACTTCTGAGATACATTTCTTAATCCGATGATAATTTTAAAGGCTCTTTCTACAAATGTCTCGAGGAATATTCTGTTGGGCTGGGGTACATCTGAGAAAAAAAATCATTTTGCAAGAATCACAACTTTATTCTAGATGACACTTGTAGAATGAAAAATGATTTTAAAAAGAGGGACCCTGACAGAATGTGTTGCTGGTAATGACCCCCATCGTTCCATTTATAAATTCAAAGTTGCTTTTTACTAGCACTTGGAGTTTAGTCAGGGAAGTAGATACTAAGCTGCCTTCAGAGAGGTTCTGCAGGCAGAACTTACAGAGGGTGGGGAATGCAGTTGTGCCCTGAAATATTCTTATGGAAAGAAAACGGGATCAATACACATGATATAAACAGACAGGAAAACAAAAAGCCTACAAGAAATCCTGTGAACATCAACAAGGCTTTCAGAGCAATCAGGCTTTTGTCTCCATAAGCTGCCCCAGGTCACTTCCCTCCATGGGGACCCAACTCCTCTCTATAAGAGAGTACAGTTCACATGCAGTGAAGAGCTTTCTGGTCTCAACTAATAGTCATCGCCATCATCATCATCATCATTGTCATCACCATAGACGTAACAATGGTATAATGGTTATAGTGAGAGTAATAAGGTGCCTACCATCCTGGATAATTTGTAAAAGGCTTTCAATTATCTGGATGTTCTTAATGAAACTCTGAAAACACATGATGTTCTAACCAAGAGACTTTTACCTGGTTTGACCACAAATAGTTTGTGTAAAAACATGAGGGGAGTATCTTGACAGAGATATTACAATTTGCCACTATTTTTGAAAATAAACGACCATTTTCCATGCAATCACAGTTGTAGCTTATGACCAAGAAATCAGGTGTGATTTCTGCTTTTTCACATTTTCAGGGTTCCCGCTGGTGCCAACCACTATCCATGCGATTACTAGGGCGCTGTACTTCAATGACAAGTAAGTATTTTGGTGGTTTTTAAGTGAACATATTTGTAAAGAAAATGCATTTATATTCATGCATTCCCTCCCTCCTTTTTTTCAGCTGCTGGCTCAGTGTGGAAACCCATTTGCTTTACATCATCCACGGCCCCGTCATGGCAGCGCTGGTGGTGAGAATTGCTTTTTATTTATTTTGTTGTTGTTGAGAATTGCTTTTTAAATCCATTATTAAGTGTTATCTCTTTGTGAAGATTTCTATAAAGATGGCTCTGTGTCGCATATGTATCGTAACTTCAAAATTAGGCTAATATAATGATGATCTATAATGAGATCATCTGTAACAACTCAATCTGAGGGTCTTCAAATGAAAAAACTAAATTTTATTTAACACGGTTGGGGAAGGGGCATAAGTTCATTTCTACCCCCGCCATCACAAAAATACAGTTTTCTTTAAACAATGCTATACCTACATGCTCCTCCTTAAAGGTAAACACCAAGGAGCTAAAGAATGGTAAGAAGATGTTACTGATAAAGAAAGTGAAAAATCAGCGTCCCTCTGCACCTTTTTCCCTGGTCTCTGCCAAACAAAACCATCTCTCATTTCATCTTTGGTCCATGAACCATCATTGGAACTACCACAGAGCATGCACTTAAAAGTATTTCAGGCCCTTCACATACATTGCCAGGCTGTTCCTAACAGCAACCCTTCAAAGTAGATACATCAGGACTACTTTAACTCATTAGGAAAACTAGACCCAAAGGTTCAAGTAAACTCACTCCAAATCACATGACTAGTAAGAAGTTAGGTTTGGGGAGAATATGACCATCTGCATCTATTTCCAAGCTCTTTGTTTTTACCCAAGGTTTACTCTATGGTAGCAAGCATGACAACCATCCCATTTATTATTTAGACATTATTTTTCCCACTAACCTCAAAGACAGTGTTTTTTCTTTGGGTAGGAATGAGAAAAATGAAAACAGTCTGAGTCGTATTGAAGAAGTATCCATTAGGAACCCATCAAACCAAGTCATCATCCAGCCTGACTTCCCACTGCCCCAGTCTCTCCAATGCACACTGTATTTCTTTTACCCTTCTCCAGAGCACTGATGGACGTACCAGCCCAACTGTCCAGTTATTTCCAGTACCTCATGAGAGTTTAATTATTACTAAAGGTCTCTTTCCTTTCTTGAGTTTTGGGGGCAACAATGTTTACTTCTATTCCGGGTAGAAAAATCATTCTAATAACTTAAAAATAAATCATCAATTAAATTTTAAAAACAACTTTGGTTTCAAAACTAATCTTCATAGTCAAAAGTAGTTTGGGACCTACCAGAATGGCTAATATTAAAAAAGTGTGACCATACCAAGTGTTGGCAAGGGTAGAGAACAACTGGAATTCTCAACTAGAACTAGAGGGAACATAAAATGAAGCCACTTCTTTGGAAAATAGTTTGGCAGTTTCTTATAAAGTTAAATATATGCTTACCATATCAACAGGAAGTTAGTTCTACTCCTGAGTACTTATTCAAGAGACACGAAAACATATGTCCACACAAAGACTTGTATACAAATATTCGTACCATGTTTATTTGTAATAGTCAAATTGTGAAACCATGCCAATTTCCATCAACAATAGAATGAATAAACAAAGTATGTGTATTATCCATGTAATGCAGTACTACTCAGCAATAAAAATGAATGAAATGCCAGTATATACAACATGAATGAATCTCACAGATACTATGTCAAACCAAAGAAGCCAGACATGAAAGAGAACATACTGTATAACACTCCACTTCTATGGTAATAGAAATTAGTGGTTGATTGAGGTGGAGGGGGTTGTTGACTGCAAAGGAGCAGGAGAGAACCTTCTGGGGTAACGAAAATGCTCTTTTCTTGTTTGGAGTGGTTGCTACCCAGGTACATACATTTCTTTAAACTTCTTGAATGTAAACTTAAAATCTCCAATTTACTGAATGTGCCTTATACCTCAATGAAGTTATTTTCTTTAAAAAATGTTATTAGAAAGAAAAGAAGGCTGGGTTAGCTGTCTCTCCTACATAAACTTTACAGACAAATTCTTCAGTCCTCATTTCACTTTCCATGAAGTGGTCCTGCCTAAGGGGAAAATCTTCGTAATGAAATGACCAGAAAGCAAGATCTAAAAGTGTCATTTATGACTCTCCTTCATAAAAATCATAAAAATCAAAGTAAAGAACAAACCACCCCCATTGGAACTGAACCTAATATATTTACTTATACAGGAAAAAAGTATTTTCTCATTTGGACAAAAAAAAATGTTAATTCAGGTCTGGGGAGGGTCTTTGGTTATATGGATGCTTCCAGCAATGCTGAGTGAATTACACCACCTCACAGGCCGTCTGTCCCATCCTGTGGGGTGACATCTGCTCCCATGACGAGATAAACAAGAACCGAGGAAAGCAGGCATCCTTAAGTCGGCCTGACCTGGATGATTTGCTCATAACATTGCATCTTGGCAGGTCAATTTCTTCTTCCTGCTCAACATCGTCCGGGTGCTCGTGAGCAAGATGAGGGAGACCCAGGAGGCGGAATCGCACATGTACCTGAAGGCAGTGAGGGCCACTCTGATCCTGGTGCCCCTGCTGGGAATCCAGTTCGTCGTCTTTCCCTGGAGGCCTTCCAACAAAATGCTTGGGAAGATATATGATTACCTGATGCACTCTCTGATTCATTTCCAGGTAAAGAAGCCGCTGGTCTATTTATTCAACTATTTGCTCAGCTAGTTGAAGTAGGTGAAGCATTTTCCAAGGCCCATCTGTGATCGGAAGGACCTTTTCAAATAGATGTAACCTGGAAGGGATACAGCTTCTCTCTTTCTCATTACCTGTTTCTCCCTTTTTTTTTGAATCTCAAAACTGAGGAAGGAAACAGGGGGAGTATGAGCTTTGAGAAGACATCTTTCTGAGGACAAATATTTGTCCAGGGACGGACCCACTGCACAGTACTGAGTACTGAGGACAGAATTTCTATTCCCACTGTCCTTTCGACCTTTCCTTCCCCTTTCCGGTAGTTTGAAGGCCACATTTGTTTTTCCTTCATGAAGAGGAGTTTTGAAGATCAACATAACCAGTGCCAATCAGTTTCCCAACCTGGATTGCTAGCATCATAGTCACCAATGCCATGAAAACACAGGGCAGAGAGGCAGATGTTCCTAACGGTCATAAAAGCTGCCACTGGACCCCAAGCTGGAGCTACATTCCTCTTAAACTAGAATATTCTTATAGTGAAACACTGAATATGAGTGCGCTAGTAATCGCCTTTCATTGAACCTTGACTTGCTAGTGCAATAGCAAAATGTTCCTCTCTGGGCTGTTATTTGTATTGATTCCTAAACAACATAACAACCCAAAAATAACTTCAGTTCTATTTTTCCTCCTCTTTTTAGGGATTCTTCGTCGCCGTGATCTACTGCTTCTGCAACAACGAGGTAAGCATGCATTTCACATAATACCATCACTCGTTGATATTAAGCCAGCACTTTACAGTTCCCAGAGGGCCTCTGGACACCTTTCATTTGCTCTCACTGATGCAGTTGACCTCGCGGGGTTTCGTGACATGCAGGATCGTGTATTTTTCCACTACTTCAAGCCGAATCTTATCTGTGTTTCTGTGGGAGAATTGCAGATATTACCCACACGGGCAGCTATGTTCTGATTTCCTTGGATGGCACCTTAAGCTGGTCAGTCCCTTGAGCAGCAAGAGTGAGAGCTATTCTGGATACCCATAGAAAGAGAAGTCATGCTGCCATCCCTTTGGAAGACCCAACTCCTCACTGGGGTGGAGTCAGTATCCAACCAGTTTGTACTGGTTCACTGCATCTTGTCCCACTCCTTGGTGCCAGTGTCATACCACGTCTTTGACATTGCGACAATCCCCTTGAAGTTAAGACCCCAAAAGAATTCTCAAGTAAGTAGTTCAATATCTGAATATTTAGCTCAGTAAAATCTAGGGATCCATATGGCCAGTGTTGTCAGGGTGGGGTTAGCCAGAGTTCCCTTTCTTCCAATGAAATCTTCTTGCCTGGGACCCCAACTGGTGAAGCAGAAACATGGAGCTGCTTACTGTCATTGAGAATGCAAACAGGAGCAGCCACCGTGGGAAACAGCATGGAGGCTCCTTGGAAAATTAAAAATAGAACTATCCTATGATCTGGTAATTCCACTGCTGGGTATTTACTCAAAGAATATGAAAACCCTAATTCAGAGAGATACGTGCATCCCTAATGTTTATTGCAGCATTATTTATGATAGCCAAGATATAGAAGCAGCCCAAGCATCCACTGATAGATGAATGGATAAAGAAGATCTGGTGTATACATACAATGGAATATTACTCAGCCATAAAACAATGAAATCTTGCCATTTGCAACATATATGTTAATTATACTTGAATTAAAAAAAAAAAGTGGAGCTGCTTAAATTTTTACCAAAGAATATTCAGGGCTTCAATGGTTTGTATGCTCCCTCATTTTGCAGGTAAGAAATCTACTCCAGGAAGAGTATGTGACTTGCACAATGTCACAATCATAGTTATATAACCAGGACTAGAACCCAAACTTCCTGATTCTTAATTAAATGAACTGACTCTTCCAACTGCACTGTAACATGTCTATGATTCCTCCCTGGAGCTTTGTTAGTATACTTTGTCTAGTTATATACCACATGAATTGTAATGTACAAGTATTTTTTATAATTTTACATTGATTCCTAGTAATAATAATTCTATACCAAGGAAAATCACGTTTGGCTAAGAGATCAACAAACATAGGATTTTCCTGTTGCTAATTAGAAAGGTTTTCTAACCAGAGTCAATTGATATTTAATTGATTCTATACTCTTTATTTCTTGAGGTAAACAGGGAGCACCTATAAGATTTTGCTGTTCTGTGACCTATTATTTATCTCCAACCTTGTCACTGCATCACAAGACTTTTGTCGCTCTCATTCTCCTTTTTAATTGGCACATTTTATTCCTCCCTTCATCCATTCCTCCATAAACTCATCCCATCACTCAGCAGAAATATACTGTGCATTCACTCTTGTTAGGGGCTAGACTGAAGGCCTGGGATAGGAATGAAAAGACATCCTTCTGCTACCAGCTATTAAAGTCTCTTTGTCTTTTTCTTTGTTTTAAGCACAGCAAAAGCTAAATAAATGCCCTAGGGCTCAGGGCATCCCATCTTTCTATCAATTTCTGTGAATGTATATCTCTGTCCTTTGAGTTGTTTCAGGTGCCATACAAATAAATTTTTCCACCTAAAGGTGTATCTATATAGGGCTAACGTAAAAATTAGGTTCAGAAGGGGCATACCTTGAAAACACGAGAGGATTGCAGGCATTTGTAAAGATGCCTCATTTTTTTTTTTTTAAATGCCTCATTTTTAACTATGATGCTGTCTTTGGAGCGTCAGGCATAGGAAGCAAGCCAAGAAGTCCTCCTAACAATTGAATGTTTCTAGTTCATTTGAGTACGATATCTCCACTTTTCGAAGTCAAGAAACCATCTCTATTTTAATTAAGATTCTGTTACTAGGGAAAGCTACAAGTGTGACGTTTCTAATAAGATAGAAATTGTGTACTGTGCCAAATGTAACCTCACAGCGCCATGAGTTTTAGGCCTGCGGCTCTCCGCCCGGCCTTCTGTGAAGGTGCCATCTACACCCCCGAACCCGGCAGGACACACAGACCTGTGGGATGCCCTTGCAGCTGCAGCCGCCCCAGAGCAGTGCTTGGGCTTTGCTGGCAGCACACTGAGTTTTAGCAGAGGTCTAGGGGGCTGAAATGGCAGTTAGACGGTGCAGATTGACGTTTTCATTTTCATTTTTTACCGGTATGTTATCAGTGATTCCCATTATGAAAATGGATCAGAGAGTCGACAGAGAGACTAGAAGCAGGGAAGGAATTTGGAGAATGACAGTGGTACGAATCAGGAAGCGCCCATGAGAGCACGCTTATGGGTCACATATCTCCTACACGTCTTCCAAGAGTGTGGACATGGACCACCCACACCTTTCAGTAAATTATTAAGTATCTAAGGGACCTCAAAAAGATGATGGTGGCTCTAAAGATGCCGGGTGGTTCCAAGCTGCAGCTTAAAAATTGAGAGAGCGCCAACAACACAGTGGATATTCTCCCTTTCATGTCTCCTGCCATTGTCCATGCATTGTGGGTAAAATCGTTTGTCGATCAAAGTAGCATGATCAGAAAGATCTCAATTTAACAGTAACAGATTGGAGTGGATAGAAACTACAACTACTTTTCTTTGTTGTAACTTATCCTGCTTTAGAGGGCCCCAAGGTCACTTTTAATACAAGAAACAGCAGTCTCTTTCTAGAAAATATTTAGTTGCAAAGCCTTTATCCAAAGGTGTGGTTGGTAGCCCCTGCTGACCCTCAGGTGGCTCCCCTCACTTCTGAGGAGCCGAGAGATCCTTTGACTGTGTAGCCTCCTTGGCCAGGCCCCAGCCCTGTTCTGCTACACCAGTTCTCTCTTCCAAGCCACCCGAGGAGCCTACAGAGTCAGCCTCCTTTCTTCACGCTGTGAAGGGCCCATGAATCTCTTCAGCACATGGCATAGCCATGACTATGAGCCATGACTATGACTATGCTCTGCTGGGGTGTTTCTATCCTTTCTTGCTTTCTGTTTCTCCCCATTTCCCCAGGTATTTCCATCATGAAGGGGAAATGGAAGGTTATTTGTGTTTCTGTATAGCTCTCTCCTCTTCCTTTTGGGATTGGAAGGGCTTTGTACTCACCACTGTTCCTTCCAACTGCAGGAGACTCTCTCTATGTCATATCTTGCATGTTCTCTATACTCTGGCTTTTAGTAAAATTCTATTTCCAGAGTAGTATGGTTTTCACTTCATATGCAAAGATAAGCTTTTCTACTTAGAAATTTTTTTTTGTCACTCAATAAAACCTGGTTTTCAAAGCTGTTGTCCTTCTAGAGACTCAAGAAAGTCAGCTTTGAGACTCAAAGCAAAGCAATGATTTCTTTTTTCTAGACCAGTATTCCCAAACTTCAGTGTGCATCAGAATCGCCTGGAAAAGTTTGTCAAAACATAGAGTGCTTGGCCCCTCCCAGAAGAGTTTCCTCTTCAGCAGGACAGGGATGGGCCCTGAGAATTTGCATTTCTAACAAGTTTCCAGGTGATGCTGATGCTGCTGATCAGAGAACATACTTTGAGAACCTACTCTAGACAAAATCTAATTTGTTCTTCAAGCAATGAATGACCTTGACTTAATGAATGAGGGAGTTACAGGGGAATGTTATTTAGGAAATACAATAAATATTTTGAAAAAATATTAACCTTATTATAGATACTATTTATTTATTGTTGTCTTCTAGAACAGGAAAGCTTCTATAGACATAGAAGAGTACGTACTGAAAAGGAATTAGAAAGCCTTGATCTTATAATCATGAAGTACGTAATTTACCTTAAACTGTAGGGCATGTACATTCTGTAAGATAAAGACCAATAACGATAATGCTCCAAAAGGGTGAAAAAAATATCAGTGACAACTTTATGAATAATATTCAGAAGTACCCCTCAGCATCTAATTAACGGGGCTTAATAGGGATTCCGCTTCAGAAAGTCATATAAAAGCATTTAAAGCATACTTCCAAGTGGATTTAAAGTGTTTTTAAAACTTGTGATCTTTAATCTTAAATTTAGATTGCAGCAGGCCAGTTGAGTTGTGGCATCAGCAAGTGAAGGTGTGAGGGAGCAGGTCTGAAAATCTTGCTATCCATTGACTCAAAACTCCTGGGGGTAGATCCCACCTTCCATTCAACAGTGTATAACTGCTGGTGCTTATACTGAACTTCAAGAAAACAAAGGCCAAAGATAAAAGCTTTCAAGTCCAGGCAAAGATTCTGACCTGATTTTCTTTTTCACAAACGTAGAAACTGAGGCCCAAATATACCAACCTAATATAGATGGTTAATAATAGAGCCAGATGCAATAATTATGTCTTCATCAGACCAGGGCTCTATCTTTTTAAAGTTGGCAATAAATAAGTTGATATAATTAGGGAAAATGTAAAGTGATCTGTGTTAATTGCTTTTATAATGTGGTGAATCTATATAATTCAAAACTTTGTATGTTATATTTATCACATTGGCAACTCCTAACATTTCTGATGCTTTTCAGGAGCAATGAGAAGTCTCTGTTTTTTTCAAACAGATTCAATGCCGTTATTGTAGTGATCAAAGCAGCATCAAGCTCAACCTGTGGTATTGTAGGAGATAATTGCCCTATTAAACTATAATTATTCAAGTGTCTTTTACATCCAGCTAAAGGCCTATTCTTATATGTGTGGTTTACAAATTGAAGCAGACTGCCATCTCCACACAAAAGAATAGATTATAATTCAGGAATGCAATTATAGAAGCCTATCAACATTTCTGTAATAATAATATTAAAAACA